TTTTTTCTTGTGTGGTTGGCAACACCGTGTGACCGGTTAATACTCGAGTAACTCCTCGAGTAACACCTGACCGAGTAACTCCTGACTGAATCTCTAAAGTAACCCTTAACTGAGTAACTTTTTGACCGAATCCCGCAAGTAACTCTTGACTGAGTAACTCGAGTAACCCCGGTCACATCATGAGTCCAACCACGTATAAAAATTTGTGTTAAAAAATACTCAGCAGTGAAATTGGATGTGCACTCGTACGAGTGTGATATATTTGAGCGATGTCCTTTACTTTTTTTCATTTTTTTTTTACAAGTGTGATGTTTTTGTTTGTACTTAATAACTTTTCTTATTTTTATGACTTAAAGTTTTCGACATACGAGTCTTTTTCTTTGGAGAAGCATACAATTCATCGAGTAAATTCTTTCGTTTTTGGACAATGAGAGAAAGTTAATGAAGTGATGATCATGTACAAAACAAAAAGTTCACAAAAAGAGGAAATTATGGAAAATTGAATATGTTAGAGAACCTTAGTAACTGATTTGTACTGTAGATTTTAAAAACTGATTCAATGAATCTTGTAAATTGAAACCTTGTTGAAGAAAATCTATAGTATGACTGACCATATGTACTATGAAAAAAAATTGTGTTGAACGGACTCATTGTGAGTCCGCCTCCACAAAATACACACCCCTTTCGCTACCTTCTTTCACCACCCACTTCCACTTTTTCAGCAACGAAGCTTTTAAATTGAAGAAAATATATGGTACGACCAACCATATATGTGCTCACATGTCTCATATACATTTGCCCGTCCAAAAAACTATTGTACAAGTACTTAAATACATTTATTTTTTGAACGGAAGTACTTGGTATACATTAAAAAAAAAATATTGTGGTGCTAAATTTGATTTTACTATAAATATACTCGTAATAAAAAAATTATTTAAGTACCCCACTTTTTCCCCTTAAGGTTATAATATCAAGATATTATTTTTATCTTAAGAGCTACGTACTCTATATATGTATATAATAATCTCAAATCTCTTAAATGTTGCGTCTTGTAATTGTTATCTCTTACAAATTATGAGTTACATCTCAATTGTCACTGTATTAAAATTTAGTCAAAGATGTGCATATTAAGAGAGATAAATAAAGAGAACTACTAAGATTAGATAAATAAAGAGAACTACTAAGATTAGAAAATCAGAGCTTTTTTGGTGCAACAGGCCACACCGTGTGGCCTGCTGCCAAATCAGTAAAAATAACGGATTACATAGTATAATGAGGTTACTATTCACTCGCATAACAGGGTTACTGGTTTTGTCAGGGTTACTTGTATTTTTTTAAGGGTTTACTTGTATTTTTTGTTTTTTTTCAAGACTTGTATTTTTTTTTCAGAGGTTACTTGTATTTTTTCTTTCAAGGGTTACTTGTATGGATTATTTATTCAGGGGTTACTTGTATTTTTTTTTTTCAAGGGTTACTTGTATTTTTTTTTTTCAGGGGTTACTTGTACGGATTATTTATTCAGGGGTTACTTGTATTTTTTTTCAGATGTTACTTGTATTTTTTTTTTCAGAGGTTACTTGTATGGATTACTTATTCAGGGGTTACTTGTATTTTTTTTTTCAGGGGTTACTTGTATTTCTTTTTTCAGGGGTTACTTGTATAGATTACTTATTCAGGGGTTACTTGTATTTTTTTTCAAGAGTTACTTGTATTTTTTTTTCCAGGGGTTACTTGTATTTTTTTTTTTCAAGATTTAGTTGTATTTTTTTTTTCAGGGGTTACTTGTATTATTTTTTTTCAGGGGTTACTTGTATGGGTTAATTCAAGGGTTACTTGTAGAGTTATTTATTCAAGGGTTACTTGAATGAGTTACTTATTCAGGGGTTACTTATATGAGTTACTTCAAAGGTTACTTGTATGAATTACTTATTCAAGGGTTACTTGTTACTTATTCAATGGTTACTTGTAAGCCCTATACCAAACCAATAACACACTACAAGTAACCCCTGAGCAAAACTAGTAACACTCTACAAGCAATCTCTAACCAAACCAGTAACACCCTACAAGTAACTCTTGAGCAAAACTAGTAACACCCTACAAGTAACCCCTAACCAAACCAGTAACACCCTACAAGTAACCCCTGACCAAAACCAGTAACACCCTACAAGTAACCTGACCAAATCAGTAACACCCTCACCAAACCACTAACACCCTATAAGTAACCCCTGACCAAACCAGTAACACCCTACATGTAACCCCTGACCAAACCGGTAACACCCTCACCGAACCAGTAACCCCTAACCAAACCAGTAACACCCTACATGTAACCCCTAACCAAACCGGTAACACCCTCACCAAACCAGTAACCCCTGACCAAACCAGTAACACCCTACATGTAACCCCTGACCAAACCAGTAACACCTACAATAACCAAACTAGTAACACCCTACAATTTTTGACGTAGAATATTTGATCTAAGATTCCACGAAGAAAACGAGCTCACATTTCTTTGGTTCTCATCAATTTCACTACTTCAAATGTTGTTGATGATTTTAAGGATAATTAATCACAATTTTTCACAGCAATTTACACACCCAATTTCTACAATTTTGGGCTTTAATTGCAGCAATTTGGCAAAGAGGAGAGAAAAAATGGGTGGAGTAGAGATATGGTTGTTGGTGATGTGTGGTTTGGCTTGAAGAAGAGGCTAAGAAAAGAGGAGAGTGAAAATGGGTGTAGTAGAGATATGGTTGTTGGTGATGTATGATTTGGAGAAGAAGATAAGAAAAGAAGAGAGAGAAGAGTTGTGGTATTTTTTTTTAAAATAATAATAATAATAATTGTGGCTGGCCACACAGTGTGGCTAGCCACATACAAAAATTTGTGTTAGAAAATTAATTGAAAGAGTAATAGGATAAACTCAAACTAACGCTTTTTCTCAAATAAAATGGAGCAATCTTTAAAAGATGAAAAAAATGTTAAAAGAAGAACTCAAATGAACTGAGCTAGACTTATTTTAAGATTAGCTCTCTGTATTCCTTACTATTTAATTTTAATTCAACTCAAAAAAATAAGGCCTAATAGAGAGTGAGAGATTAATTAAATTAACGGTTTTTTCACGAAATACCCCCGAGCTATTACTTTATTCACTATATACCCATCAAAAATTTTAAATTCACCATATATCAATGAATTTCACAAAAATCACCAAATACCATGTTTAGTCATTATGGTTAATCATGCCACGTGACAGTCTCTAATCGGTTCTTTTTTTAAATTAATCAAAATTTAGAAGGTTAGGCGATCACCTCATTATGCCGTGCCGAAAAAATAATATCTATGCACAACCCATGACACACTGATGAGTTGTCATGTAGGGCTTGTAACGGGTTTGTGCCGAATCAAACCATGTCATACCTAACCTGCTTTCGTACGCCGACCTGACCAATATCCATCTCTAACTAGGTACGGACTATAGAGTACTCGTACATTAAAATCGTTAAAGAAAACACGAATTATATATTCTGCTATTTTCCCTCAAATTTTTTACAACAATTGGGTTTGTCAGTGTGTGTCATCTTCCTCACTGAGTACTGTCATAGAGTAGTTGCTACAACTGGAAGCGTCTTTCTGCTACCTGATTCACAAGCAATTTTCCTCCTTTTTTTTGGGTTATTCAACTGAGGAGAGAAAATTAGAGAGAGGGTACAATGGATTTCATTAATAGTTGGGTCCATTTACAAGGCCAAATTCACACAATTTATCAGCAGCTGTTCTTCTTCCTTCACTCAGAAATTGTAAGGTTTCTACTCCTTTGCTTTATTTTGAAGTTTATTGATTAGAAAGTTGCATTTTTTTTGAATGATTTCTTGATCTTTGATTTCTGGGTTTTGCTTAAAATAGAACTCCAAGAGATGGGTTTTGTTGGGATTTTGGAAAAAAAATTAACCCAGTTTTAGTAATGTTTTGTTTAACCCTACTTAAACTGTTGATTTCTTGTTCAAACCCAGTATTATTATTATTATTGTTATTTGAATGGTGGTTGTTGACTTGTTTTGATCAGTGTTTTGATTATTTATAGAATGTGGGCCTATAATTTTAGTATTGTTACTAGAATTAGTCAGGTAGAAGATGCATGTACGATATTATTGCTTGTTGTAAAATTCAACTCGTCTTTTCTGGTTATGTATTTGTGTGGTGTGTTGCAAAACCTTGTAATAATCGTTGTAGTTTCAATTAATCGTAGACAAAGCGGATTCCTAAATGTTATGGGCTTTTGGTACTCTATTACATGTTTTGAAGGTTGTAGTACACTATTAATGAATTTGGCAATGATAATTAATGCTGTATGATCAATTTATACCACTATGAGTTTTGATGTTTAAGTTGATAGTTTCACTGTCATTTTTCTGCTCCAGGTAGAATTTTTCGTTTTTCACAAATGGTTCCTTGTGATGAAACATGTTAGCCGACCCCAAATCAATTTGGGACTAATGCTTTATTGTTGTTGAAAATTCAATTCCATATGGTTGTATGATATTAAAAACATAAACATGTGAATGCAGAAACGAATAAAAAAATAATACTAGCCATGAATGTATCTAAGGAGCCTTTTGTTGTCTGTCTGTCTGTCTGTCCTTTGCCATTGATATAGTGTTAGACTGATGTTATGGCTGATGTTTCTGATCTAGCAATCCAAGGCTCGAAGTTTAAAGAATGGAGTTTGATAGAGGGAATTTGCAATGTGAGGTACCAGCGACAGTTGGTGGAGAATCACACTATAACTGGTCAAAGGAAGCATATGCTGTCCCCGACATATAGTAGAAAACGCTTGGTAGTTGCGTGCCACGGACAGTCGCTTGAATCTGAACCAAACGCTTATGAACCTAAGAATATTTGGAATTCAATTATCAATTTTTTGGATGCCTTTTATAGGTTTTCAAGGCCTCACACAGTTTATAGGAACAGTTAAGTTTTCTAAGGTTTCAACCTTTTGATTAATGTCACATCTCTTCATTCCTTCTGATTCTACTTGTATTCCTATGCTCTTGAAATTTATGATATATAACTTGGATGTTTTACTTTTTTATGACAGGCATTGAGCATAGTTTCAGTTTCTCTACTTGCAGTGCAGAAGCTTCAGATTTTTCTCCTATGTTTTTCACTGGAATGTTAGAGGTAATGCTGGATATATGTGCTCACTGTCCTCCTTACCTAGGTATATTTGAAGCGTTTTTTCTATCAATAAATGCTTCTCCTGATCAATCTATGACTCTTTACAGGCCATTATTGCTGCTCTTTCATGAATATATACATCGTAGGTTTGAATCAGATATCTGACATAGAGATAGACAAGGTAAGGACTTGACATATCTTGCCTTCCATTTATTCACAAATTCACAATCCACATCATTTTATTCAAATACATATTGGCATATGTTGTTTATATTACTTTCTCTACAGTGAAATTAGTTGATATAGCTCCGAACAGAACCATGAGATGAGGCATCTAACTTGAAGCTGCTTAAGTATTTACCCTATCTCAAAATACATCATGTTTCTGCAACAAAATCAATTTACTAAGGAAAAATAAAAAAATAATAAAATCCAAAATCACTTAAGGACTATATGTCTACATTTAACATTGCTAGACAATACTGTGTATTAGTTTGATACTCAGTTAACTTCGGTCAATAACCTTGTCACTAGTATACACTGGTTAGGTGTAAGGCAGAGTAAAGTAGTCCCTCTACAGAACCTGCTGTTGGTAAAATCCATATTGGATAGTTTTTGTTGTTCATGCTACATGGATCATGTTATCTAATGTGTGTACATCTTAATGTGGTTATAGGTCAACAAACCATATCTTCCTCTTGCATCCGGGAATATTCTACTGGAACTGGTATCTTCATTGTTACGTCATTTGCCATATTGGTAAGGAGTTCTAAATGCGCTGCTGAGGATGACTACATAATTTTTGTTAGCTTATGAAATGCTTTCAGCTTTCGGGTTGTGCATTGCATACATCTATTTCAAGATTTGTATTTCACTATTTCCTATTACCAAATTGTTGGTTGCTCTTCCATCCTTTTGTTGACATTTATCATTCATGTCCATACATTGCATGTTCTTCATCCCAAATTGTTATCTCCATGTATGTTCATTCTGTCCTAGATTCTTGGATTACCAAGTGTTATTCTCATTTATTTGTTTTCTCTGTCATGCAGAGTTTTTGGCTGTGGTCAGTTGTTGGTTCATGGCCCTTATTCTGGGCTCTTTCTGTCAGCTTTGTGCTTGGTACAGCATATTCCATAAATGTAAGGTTTAATGCTCTAATGGTTTGTCAGAGACATGTATGTGATGCTTGGTTTACATTGTTCTTTGGTGGTTACTAATCAAACTATGGTCTTAAAGTTGAAATATTTTGAACAGAGACAGTAGTGAGTTTAGTGACCAACCAAATGTCTATGGCTGGTGAACATATTACGTAGCAGTATGTTACTTAGGTTTAAACTCTGCCCTGACTGAGAAACACCTTGATCACAGAGACAGGTGATCAAATTCCAAATTTAAGTTGTATTTTCTGTTATATATCCATTTAGTACAAGATTGTAGCCTCTTTGTGCTCTTTAACATCTGGATGCTATTTTCACTAGATTTTGGAAATCCAGCTGGTGTTTATTCCAAAGGGACTGAGTATCTAAAAGCTGCTCTTATAAATGAGGAAGTTTCTAGAAAAAATTCAATAGAATCTCTCAAACCCTTTTTTGCAAAGTTTGCTTTCTTTGCTGTAGTTTGACAAGTATGATGTCTTATTGCTTAAAAATTTAGAACTTTTGTATGAGGTGGTAAATTTTGCTTATTCTTTGCTCTTGGACTTTCAGCTGCCTATGTTGAGATGGAAGAGATCTGCTGTTGTTGCAGCAATGTGTATCCTCGCCGTTCGGGCTATAATTGTTCAAATTGCTTTTTTCCTGCACATGCAGGTGGTGTTCTGACCCTCGTCATGAATATTGTTGGTATTTGCATATCCATTTGGTTATTGAAACTTAGCATATACTACAAAACTATTGATTTTATATAGTTATCCAGAAATTTGTTTGATTATTTCTGTTGCTCATTCACCACATTGTTGAACATACATTGCTATATTGTCTTCAAAAATTATGCATAAACTTCATTAAGTTTTGTTCATCTTTTACTCTCTCTAAAGGTGTTCAATTTGTGTGCAACTACTGCAGACACATGTCTTTGGACAACCAGCTATCTTTTCCAGGCCATTGATTTTTGCAACTGCATTTATGAGTTTCTTTTCGGTGGTTATAGCATTGTTTAAGGTAAAAACTCATTTCCATTTGAAATAGTGATCTGCTTGATAGATGACTGTTGTATTAAGCGCCATAGTAGAAAATGTTCTAAGTTTAGCAAAATTAATTTCAGTTTTTTCAGTTTGGTAAAAATAATTTCAATTCAGCAAAAATAAGGTGAAGTGAACCGGGCCATACTCTGCATCTGTCATTAGATTCAATACACAAATGATGTATTAAAGTAATAAGATACTCTTGTGCATTGTGATTAATTTATGTTCCCATAAACATATTTCTTAATGTTGAATGCTCAAGTCCAGTAACTCATTTTGAACCACTCTTTTATGCAGGATATACCTGATATGGGAGGTGATAGGATATTTGGTATCCGGTCATTTACAGTACGACTGGGACAGAAGCGGGTTAGTTTTGATTAAGTAATAAACACAGGGAAAAAAAGGAGCATATGTGATTTACAGACTTCACGGCTTAATTCTATTATTGCAAATCTGGCAGGTATTTTGGATTTGTATTTCTCTACTTCAAATTGCTTATGCTGTTGCCATTTTAGTTGGGGCATCATCCTCCTTTCTTTGGAGCAAACTTATCACGGTATGTACAATGTGCTTCTATATTGACTTTCGAAAAAAAGCATGTCAATTATTTCTGGAATTTAGATGCCTTTTAGAAGATTTACGGCCCATAGTTTCAAGAAAGTTTTTATTGATGTTACGAGATGCTGACACTAAGGTACCTAATACCTATTCTGCTATTCACAGTGGACAAACTTTTAAATAAAACGGATGTTCAGTAAATTACTGAACATCCGTTAATGCTTCATTGATAAATTTGACAAAAGTGACACTAAATCTGACAAAAGTGTGCTCGATGTACAGTAAAATTACTGAAAACCGGGTGTATACAAAAGTTTTCCTTCACAGTGAGCATCACATCTAAGATCGAGAATATCTGTGCAACATTGGTTGCTGTCACTGCTTAACCATTATGGACTGACAACTAGTGTATTCACCATAGATGAGTGAAACTCCCATGATAGAATACTGGCGAGGCCAATTAATACTTGGTATTTCTAGAAAATATTTCCCACGTTGTTTTAGCTATTAAAAGTCACCCTAGATTGTTTATTATCATCTTTAAAAGAACAAGCTCTTTGGCTACTAGATTTCCCATCTTTAGGGTCATAAATGGAATTGAAATTCATGAGATACGCCCTGAAATAAAATTGTATTAAGTTTGCATGATCTCTGGAAAGGGTAGTATAATTACCCTACCTTCACCATGGTTTTGAGTTTTCCAACACTTTTTCATTGGATGATTGAATTTTGAGGATATACAAAAAAATTAAAAAAAATAAAAATAAATATTAGAAACGATCTGCCTTGGCCAAGCCTAATATCTGAGCCTAAATCTTATGAATCTATTCAGTGTTGGAATATGGGGATTAAGGCTAGAAAAAGGTTTCACCTTGTTCCATTATTTCTTTTCTTGTAGGTTGTTTGGTCATGGTATATTGGCTGCAATGCTGTGGAGAAGTGCCAAATCTACTGATCTTAGCAGCAAAGTTGCAATCACTTCTTTTTACATGTTCATCTGGAAGGTAAGACGGCACCCTATTTAATCTTACCCTTATTGTTGCTTCGTTAATGCCTGTTTCTATTCCAAAAAGGTGGAGTAGCTTTATGTTTGTTCTGCTATGGTCTAGGTACTGCTGATATTGCTTATAGGAAATTTCAATTCAGTTCCTTTGACACTTAATAATAAGATTTTGGAACTAAAAATTATAAAAACGTAGAGTTATTGACTGTATTATGTCGAGTAATATTATACTGATGCCATATTACCCTTTGATGTCAGGACACTAGTACACTACATTATAATGTTCATTTGGTATTTTGTTGCTAGTCTTATTCCTTTGTCATTGTAAAACACAAATTTTAAATCTGCAAAGTATAGATTCAACACAAATTATAATGCCTACATAAACTCGTTTGGTCTTGAATGATCATCTTCCATGACGGGATTTTAGTTATTGCATTGATAGTCATCTGAAAGGTCGTTTCTCCTTGCAGCTATTTTATGCAGAGTATTTGCTAATACCACTTGTAAGGTGATTTACAGAACGTGATGAAGATGATTTTGCTCCCAGATTAGTGACAAAGTGTACATATAGATTTTTCCTTATTGAGGGGAGGTACATTAAATATTGAGCTGAATTTGTTGCAAGTATTGCTAAATATTCAGATATTTTTTTTCATAAAAAAATGTCAGCTTCAGTTAGTTGCTGTCATTTTCATCATCTTTACTTCTTTCTGTGGATCAGGTAATTTCAAGATTCATATCTGCTAAAACTAGCTGACATTCTGTCTTGATTTTAGATAATTTTTTTTATAAAAATACCTTTTTACTTATTTTATTTATTTACTTTTTAATTTTGCTAAATAATCTTGAGGCTGAGACAAATAGAGGAAATAGGAAAACTTATGACAACATAAATTGAGAGTAAGATAAGTTAATAAGGTTCACAATATTTGTTAGGTTTGTAGGCCTTGGTTGATTTTGTTCAGAGGCAGACAAAAGCATTCACTGAAATACAAAGTATTTCAATTGTGAAATCTGATATACTTGTATTTGAAAGCATGGCACGCGTGTGCGTGTCATTAAAATCAGGTCCACCTCGAGCCATATTTAGGTGATGAACAATTTGTAACCCTTTAAGTTTAATAAGGTACTCCGTACTTCTTTATGGGTCATATTTGGTTTTAATTCAATCAAAATTGAATGTGATTAACTTATTCGAGTACAATTCAATCATTGTACTTCATGTAATTCATACTGTGTTTAACATAAGGTTTGCTTGGCATTAATTGAAGTGATAAAGATTTGGTTTTGTTACTAGGTGTTTAGGTTATTCTAAAGATAGAATTATTATTACTTTTTATGGTAAGGCAAAAAACAACAATACAACATACTTGTATAAGATAGTACTGATCTATCAAATCAAATAATCAAAGTTGATATTTGCCAGATCTTTTGTTTTTAGTGGAGGGAGACAAATTCCCAGAACACTAAATTGACTTGGAAATCACTCCCTAAAATATAAGTTGCCCTAGCTAGATTTAATTTGACTTGAATGATAAAAACTAGATTCAACGCGTATACATCCAATCAAATCTGGCCTAGTGACCCAAATTGACACCTAAGTAAGTTTCATCCTGTATCGAATAAATCACAATGATCTATTCATAACATCATCCCTTTGCTAGTTCGCCATAAAAATCCAGTTAAATAAAACAGCAAATAAGAGTTACTGTAATAAATTCACATGGAATATAATGATTGTATTAATAAAATTAAAAAATGTAAGTATTAACTTCCAAATGGATGAACTATAATTTGCTGTCTATTACATTTGTCATTTGCTGTCCAAAATATTTTGCTCACATGAAATCAAGGTATCATGGACATATAAGTTAGGGAGAATAATTGATTCCAGTCATTCCACATTATATTTTGATTTTCTATCTTAATTAATCTGATAATCTATCTTGCACCGAATCATATTCCAGATTATTACGTTGAATTATTGTATCATACTCCTGTTATCCTATCCGCAGGTTGTCAAGCCAGTTTTTTTTTTTTTTTTTTTTTTTTTTGGGGTGCAAATCAAGCTAGCTTATGATCTTAACTGTTGAGTTTTATACTAAAAAAATTAGTAGAATTTTTTTAACAAAAATTAAAAAAAAATTACTATGTACTCTGTAATATTTTTCTAAGCAATCTCCGAGGATAACCGGAGATTTAGACTCTCTTTTGTTAGGTAAATCTGTAAATAACAAAAATATGGTCTTAGAGTGATTATATATAGAGCTGTCAATTCGGGTAACGGGTCGGGTTTGGGTCGGTAAGAGTGGGTCGGGTCAACTCGGGTCGGGTCAATTCAGATTAATTCCATAACCTATGCGGGTCAGGTTAGGGTTAGGTCATGTTTGAGTCGAGTCACGTCGGGTCATACTTCTTATCAGGTTTGGGTCGGGTTTAGGTCGGATTAATAACAGCTCGGGTTACATTCGGGTCGGGTATAATTCAGGTTTTCACGGGTTAAAACGGGTTAGGGTAATTCTCGGGTTCGAGTCAAATCAATAATTTGCGGGTTAGAATCAGGTCGGGTCATTCTCGAGTTTGAGTCACGTTCGGTTCAAGTCAATAATTTGCGGATTATAATCAGATCGAGTCATTTTCAAGTCGGGTCATTCTCGGATTCAAGTCGGGTTCGATTCAAGTCAATAATTTGCGGGTTATAAACAGATTAGGTCATTTCCGAATCGGGTCATTCTCGGATTCAAGTTGGGTTATGTTCAAGTCAATAATTTACAGGTTACAATCAGGTCGAGTCATTTTCAAGCCAGGTCATATTCGGGTTCAACTAACTATAAATAGATAATTATCATTTTTATCAAGCTAATTATTTCCTTTGACTATAATATATATGGCAATATACTAGGGAACTATAGTTTATAATTTAGGAAGATAATTATCTCCTTTGACCATACAACAAATATATATATTATATTTAACTCTTAAATTTGAGGATGATGCTCCTTTCTTTTGCTGCCTGGACCGACTTGGTCTCCTAAGACAAAATGCTTTGATCAACAATAATACAGTGGTCTAAATTTAGGTCGAGTCAATAACAAGTCGTGTTAATTTTGAATCGGGTTAGTAACAGATCGGGTTGAAATTTTGGGTTTGGTAAGTAATAGGTATGGTAAAATTCGGGTCGGGTCAATAACAGTCGGGTTGATTTCAGGTCGGGTTAGGAACAGGTCGGGTTGAATTCAGGTTAGGTTAGTAACAAGTCGGGTTAAATTCGGGTTTTGACGGGTTAAAACGGGTTTTGGTAAATTTCGGTTCAAGTCGGGTTCGGTGCAAGTTTAATTTAATTGGCCGTTGTAAACCCGTAAATCGGTGCAAGTTGTAAACCGGTAAATTGGCCGTTTAAAAGCAAATTGAATGGTTCCACACACCCACTTGGACTCCCGGAGGGTATTAGGAGCCATGGTAAACAATTCGGCAATTTTTAATTCCGGGCGAAAAAAAGTCAAAAATTTCCAAAATTGAAGGCTAATATCCACGTTTTTTAAGAAATTTAAGAGGTTTCGGGGGCCCGGTGTAGAACGTCTTGATATTCTATGGGGTATATCTCGGAGTCATATAATGCCGTTTGGAACCATATATGATCATTATTTGTTGTCATAAATGTTCGTAGTAGGCTTGAGTTAATGAAATCCGTGCAAGTTGTAAAACAGTAAATTGGCCGTTTAAAGGCAAATTGGATGGTTCCACCCACCCAATTGGACTCCCGGAGGGAACTAGGGACCATGGTAAACCTTTCAGCAATTTATATTTCCGGGCGAAAAAAAAAATCAAAAAATTTCAAAATTGAAGGCTAATATCCACGTTTTTTGAGAAATTTTGGAGGTTTCGGGGCCTGGTGTAGAAAAGTATTGATATTTAAGGGGATACATCTCGGGGTCATATAATGTCGTTTGGAACCATATATGAGCATTATATGTTGTCATTAATGTTCGT